ACCACACCACCCCTCCACCGCCACCCCCCATCCCTAGCTGTGTACCTCCATCCCTGGCTTCTCTAAGCAGCGATGTAGGCTAGATAACAGTATGAATTGTTCTGTTTCTATTCCCTTATATGGGCTTTATGCTCTATATAGTCCGCTCTCTAACCACTCAGTGAAGAGAAGGAAAAAAGACAATTAATAATCATAATTAAATTCAGTTGCGTGCGTGTTTGTGGCGTTCGTGACAAAGGACTGACAGAACAGACACAGACAGCAGAGTACAACCAGTGTGGCTCCCGATTTTGGTGAGGAGATAATATATCAGGTTGCTACAATCTTCATCATGTAATTATTCAACAACAAACCAACGGTCTTTTGTTTCGAAATGAATAAACTGGTTTATAAACTTTCCTTCAGACCTTTGACCCCCCCCCCACGACAAACCAACACTTGCTCCTTTCAAAATCAACCACTCTTGTATTGAAATCAAATACTATTGTATTGAAATTGTACATATTTATTTCACATTTCTCATTCTCTATATACCCATATTCACTTTCTTCCCGCTTTCATTTTCCCTTTCTCTCTCTTAAACATCCTTTCTCCTTATAATCCCCTCTTTTATCTAATTTTCTCCTCTCCATCCGTCCCCTTATTCCCTCCACAAACAGGACGCAGGAACTCTCAATGCACCTACCTCCTGCAGCAGGTAGAGGACGGTGTGCCCAGGTTCCTCTCACACCTTCCTCGGAATCACTTGTGGTACGTCGCAGGGGCGAGTTTGCCTTCGGTTACCACTTCGTATTTTTTTTCTAGTTTTCGTGTTGTCTGTCGTGGTATTTGATAAAGGATTTGGCGCTGGCATTCAGCTTTAGGAGCGGGTAATGGATCGTAGGTAAGGAGAGGCTGTAGTGGTTGTGTGAAAATGGGACAAATAACTTACGATAATTTTCAGGTGTCAAATCATAAGCAAATTGGTCGCAATGTTATTGAGAGACAATTATCGAAGTAAGTTCTTATCAAATCTCCCATTTAATAATATAATAGGCCTTCACTCTCAGCCACTTTCGCCACGTAGCCCTAGTTCCACGGGAAATAGTCATTATCGCTGAATATAGCTATGGTATGCAGTTACAGCACCCAACTCTCCAAAGCTACCTGGGTCGGGGAGTGGTAATAAGGGGCGTGGGCCAGTGTCCTTGGAACACGGGGTGGGTCACACATTTCTCTTTCCCTCCTCTGAAAATCGTATCCCTCTCCTATTTTTCCCCTTCCACCATCTTTCTACTTTACATATACAAAAGACCGTACATTCTTCAAGAAAATAATTAGTAGGACAGGAGTAAGTGGACACCTCACTGCTCCGTATTTCAGATTAGGTGGACGAAGAAGTGTATTAAGTTGTCTGGTCTCTTTGGTATATTTCCGGCAACTACTGAATCATAGCTTTTTCAAAACTTGTCACCTGTGCTATATATATAAATATGAACATTTATTTACATACATGTGCATTCATCTATAACACACACATGGACACACACACAACACACCACACTCACAACACACCACACACACACAGCATCACGACACACACACACACACACTCACACACACACACACACACACACACACATCTTCACCCAACACACCTACACACACTCATATATTACATTTATATATATATATATATATATATATATTATATATATATATATATATATATATATTATATTATACAACACACACACACACCAACACAACCACACACACACACACATATATATATATATATCATATAATCATATATATATATTAATTATTATTATATGTTGTGTGTTGTGTGTGTGTGTTGTGGTGTGTGTGTGTGGTGTGTGTGTGCGTGTGTGTGTAGTGTGTATGTGTACGTGCATGAGAGAGAGAGAAATAGAATGAAGCAGAGAGAGAGAGTGTTGTGTGTGGTGTGTGTGAGCCGCAAGCAGACAGAGATGCCATTTCCACAAGCATCAAGGATTAGGCCGAGAACACCTTCCCTCATCTTACTTTCCTATAAATCTTTCCCTCAAACATTAACGCTTCAATTTACAACTCAATTTCTTTCTTCACTCAATTCTTCACTCCTTTCTTTAAAAAAAAATGTTTAGTAATTAATCCCAATACAAAGAAAGATCCGTAAACCTCTCATATCGTCTACAGATAAATAGCATCTTTTTTACGATAATTTTTTTATAGTAACTAAGGAAACATGTACTTGCATGCCTCGCCTCACTCCAGATAGTATTCAAGGACAGGGTCGCTTCTGCACCAAGACCAAAGTGATGCGTCCACTTTTTTTTTATTTTTGTTTCGTTCCGCTTAAACTCTTTTTCTCTTCCTTTCTTTCTCTCACGCTCTTTTGTTCTTTCTCTCTCTCTCTCTCTCTCTCTCTCTCTCTCTCTCTCTCTCTCTCTCTCTCTCTCTCTCTCTCTCTCTCTCTCTCTCTCTCTCTCTCTCCTCTCTCTCTCTTCTCTCTTCTTTCTCTTTCTCTGTCTCTTTCTCTCTCTCTCTCTCTCTCTTCCATTTTTTAAAAATAACATGCATATGACAGGTTTCCACAGATGGTATATTTTTACAATGTTTTGTTGCTGCATAAATAGCCTAATTGTGCATTTGACACAGTATCTTTATCAATTTTGTACCAGAATCACTAAATACGAGAGACAAAGATGCTATGGGCGATTTGTTATTAATCTGGCAATGAAGTAATTGTCCCAAATAGGTATAACGATGGAAACGAATTTGTAGAAATGTGTGGAAAGTGTTATAATAGCCATAATTCATTAATTACACTTCGTTTCTGATAAGTGAATTTGCAAAGCGTATGTGCAACCCACACACATACAGAGAGACAGACAGAGAGAAGAGAGAGAGAGAATCATAACTAGAAAATGCATGAGAGCATCACCTGAATAACATACTAAGTTAAATCAATCGTAAAACATGAGAAAGCACCCTCTCCACTCACGAACTTTTCTCTCTACATCCAGTCCGTACTACCAACCACCAAGCAAATGAAAAAAAATACGAAAACAAACTCCTGAACGACCATTGACACAACTACATGCTCTCCCACCCGTAACCCAACGTCGGAAACAGCTGTTCTCCTTAACAAGCTCACTCCCATTCATACAAGGTATTTACTAGAAGAGCGCTCTTTTACTACGCCCATTCATAAAAGGGCGGGTAGGTCTAGCACAAGCGCGTCTGCTTACCAACACACATCCACACACACGTAGGAACATAAACGATAAATGCGGTAGAATATTAACATCCAGGACTGTGTCGTCATTGGCAATGTATATTTCATAATTGTTCATTTAATTCGTTTTGTTTTATTTGGTTGCTTGTACGTGTTGACATTATGTTGCCATTAGTAGCATTTAATAAATGGCGCATTCATTATTGCCGCCAAAAATGTCCGCCATAAGTATTTCATATTCATTTAAAACTGTTTGTTGTAATACTACGTTCATATCTCTGTTCAACTGCTATACAAATGAATGGAAATGGATGATAGCAATAGTTCTGACACTTCCGCTTATATATTTGATTAGAAGTTAACCTAAGCAGTAATATTTATCACGAAATATTTATCATATTTCCTGTACGTTGGCGAACTATCACCGACAGAGTAGATATAACCGAAACAGGGCAATATACTGGGATATAGCATTTGATTTGATAGAAAACTAATCGTCTGACATCAAATAAATTCACGATATAAAAAAATAATTTTCCACATATATCAATTATATTCACAAGCAGCTTGCATATTTAGTACGACCAATCATGTGTTCCGTGTACACGCATTTCTTTATTCTATTGCATAGTTTCATGGGCTATCTAGTGCCCAGAGACACAAAGGAGTAGAGATGTGAATTCCCCACCACATAGAGATCCCGCCTTTCGTTATTATTATTACTGTTATTATCACTATTATTATCATTACTATTTGATGAACGAATCATTGACTGACATGCACCTATGCTCGTCTACTTGAACACTTTGCTATGAGTCAAATCTTCTGGTCTTTTATGACTAATTGCTGTGTCCATTTTTCGTAAATAGAATCATTATGATTATTGTTTATTGCATTATCGTCATTTCTTATCATCATATTTGTTATTCTTATTGTCATCATCATCATCGTCGTCGTCGTCATTATCATTACCATTTTTATTATCATCATTATCATAATTATTGTTGTTATTGTCATCATTATCATCATCATCGATATTATCATTATCATCATCATTTTCTTCATTATCATTATTACCATTCAATCATAGTATTAATTATCAATTACCATGCTAATCACCATCACCATCATCATCATCATTATTACCATCACTCGCGCACAGGCACTCTCTCTCACACACACAGGCACTCGTGAACAGGCTCCACTCACCACAACGTCCTCTGCCTAACCTGTTAAGTCCTTCAGAAGAAAGCACATTCCTAGTTCTTGTTAGTAAACTATTTTGCAACGTAAAACCTATCGCAATCTATGACTTCAGGCTGTAAAAAACGGATTGCAGTAACAATGTAACAGTGAAATATAATTATTAAGAACAAAATCAAACAATGCCAGTATTTCTAAAGGAGTTTGGGTACAATATGACAAACGAGTTAAAATTGAAGAACTACCGGCATATATTTCATGTCAAATCCACTTAAAATACTAGAGAACTTGCCAGAAAAGTAGATTCATTCAAATACATTTCCACTTGCTGTATACTTCTCTGAGACAAAGGGAAGATAGGTGTATCCTATCTTTATGCGAAATAAAGGAAAACAAGGATTTAAACTGATGGATTGTTTGCATGTCTGTGTGTTTGTGCATGTGTGTGTTTTTCCAAACAGTTTTTACCCTGCAAATGCACTATAAGCAATATATAATCTGATGGAATTGTACCATCAGTGATTGTATGATAAGAAGCAATCTGGGAATAAGAATAAAACCATTTTTTTTATGATTACATAATACATTTACTTTTATTATTTAAATATTGTCAACTCTGATATATTCTCTACGGAAATAAATATATTCACCAAAACCAAAACAATGAAAAGAAATTAACAGATTCAGACTGTCATAAATACAAAAATCCACACACAAGAAAGTGCGCGCGCGCACACACACACACACACACACACACACACACACACACACACGCACTCAAATGAAAAAAGCCATACATATGACATAGATAAACGTTAATTATTTGTAACAAAAAATTAATTAATAGAAAATATACATATACACATTTATATCATTAACGCTCTATATTATCACAATATCACAAATAAATAGTAAGTGCTGATTCTGCAATGACAGGTATTCTCTTTCCTGTAGCTTTTGCGTGAGTAAAGGGGACCGTGTTCTATCAGGGTTCTTGTCAGACGTTCCACTGGAAAAAAAAGGAAAACGTTTTCTTATTTATTACCATTTGTTCAGAATAAACATTTTCCAAAGTCTCTATAAATCAAGTTTTATTTCTATTTTTTATTTATCTATTTTTTTAATATAAAAATAAAATGAATGTTTACTCATATTAGTAAAAAGGATCCAATTTGAAAGTCAAACGAAGATTTTTTTTTTGTAACTGAAGCGAACCCCTTCATAATTATTCCTGCATTTTTCACCATTAATATATAATCTATTTATTCTATTCTACAACTATAACTCAAGAAGCACATCGGTATTTTGATTTTATTAGTTTTCATTACTGGAAAAGGTTTAGATAAAGTTAAAAAGCGATTTAGTATGTGTCTGTCTTTGGTAAATGCGCCGTACTGGAATCAAGTAAATAAACACGTCATGGCGAATGTAAACAAAGAGCGAAAAATTGTAGGCCAGCCAAAGGGATTTAAGATGATTTTGTATCATTTACGTTGTTTTAAGATGACTTCTTATGATTTACGTTGTTTTAAGATGATTTATTATGATTTACGTTGTTTTAAGATAATTAATTATAATCTACGTTGTCTTAATATTATTTATTATGATCTACGTTGTTTTGAGATGATTTATTGTGATTTACGTTGTTTTAAAATCATTTAGCATCATATATGTTGTTTTAAGATTATTTATTATAATTTGTAACGTAACCAAAGTGGCGGGCGGGGCAGATTGAGGTGACTCGGGGACCAAGACAGTCTGGCTAGTGTAGCATAGAGTAAACCTTGATAATTACTTTCAAAATGTCCAACTTACTCATTTTAGCAAATGATGTTACTCCTGTTTATGGACAATAGCATGAATATTTCAAGTTTCTGGATCATGTTGCTGGTGAATATTTGGGATTTCAGTGAATTAATGTTAAATGCTGTCTCAAATACAACTTACAGTGTGGTAAATAATTTGTTGCGGTCAGCCGAGTCAGGAAGTTGACAAGGTACCTGTGTACTTGGTCCTACTGAGTCTCTATAGCCGATAATTCATTACAGGTCACACGTCCTGGCCTGCATTCACAGCACAACCAAAACATCTGTTACAATAACATAGGATTTTTAATTTACAGCATCTAACCGTTTTTTATATATAAAATTTCAAAATTTTCTCGTGTTCACATCTATTTTTCTTCTAATGCTTATAATTTTCAGAGTTCTTTCCTTGTGTTCATATCAGACAGGAATGATCTTTATATCATTTTGATAATGAATTTCATCTTTTCTAAATGGAACTTATTCTTTCTAATCATCAATCCAATCTGCAATATCACTGTATACATGTGTGTGTGTGTGTAAAGTGGTCTGATTCATGACAAGATGCCCCAATGAAGTCATAGTGACTATGCACACAATCAAAATTACACCGGCGGTTATTTCATTAACAAACCTTATGAAGGCCTACTTGCAGAGGTGTCTTTCCACTACCCATCAAACTGTAATCAATTTTACTCAACAGCTTCACACGTCCTGAAAAAATATACCAAACCCTCCTTCTTTATAGACCAAACCCTCCTTCTGTACATTAGTCACACACCATTTTTAAAACGCCACGCAGACCTCAGCCATTTCCTAAGCACTGTCCTCTGAGACCATCTTCTTCAGTTCCCGACGAAGCAGCTTCCCCGTTGCGTTCTTCGGCAGCTCCTTGACGAAGTGCACTCCGCCGGCGAGCTTCTTGTAAGGAGCCACCTTGTCTTCCAAGAACCTGTTGTGGGTATTTTAAAAAGTGACAAGAGTATGAAGTATGAGTTTTTATTGTTATTGTTAAGTTTAATTGTTGTGTTATTATTTAGCTTTCATTGTTGAATTATTCAAATACGATAAGATGTGTACACCCCCGACTGATAACTCGAAAGACGGACAGAGAGAGGCAAGCAGGTAGAGGGAGAGAGACAGAGAGAGATAAGCAGGTAGAGGGAGAGAGAGAGAGATAAGCAGTAGAGAGAGAGAGAGGTAAGCAGGTAAAGAGAAAGAGAGAGAGACAGAGAAAGAAAGAATACATTCCTCACTCAAAGCTACTTCAAAAACAAAGAAAAAAAAAACACTCAATCAAGACCGCCCTTCGCGGAAAAAAAAAAAATGCACGAAAACCTTGAAAAAAGAAAAAAAAAAAAAAAATCACCCGTGGATGAACTCCTCCGAAACCATCTTGGAAGTGACGACGTAGGCCCGTGGTGCTTCTCCCAGCCGGTCGTCTGGCACGCCTACTACGCCCACGTCTACCACAGCTGGACACTGACGAAGCAGGTCCTCCAACTCGGACGGTGAGACCTGGAGGAGGGAATGCGTGGAGGGTTCTAAGCCTTCTTGTGGGGGGGGGGAGGTGTAGGTGGGTATGTTTGCGCGTGTGTGTGTGAGAGAGAGAGAGAGAAAGAGAGCTTGTGTGTGTGTGTGATCATATCAGTTTAAAATATAATCGAAATAGAATAACATTTCAACTTATTAGAATCTATTCATATAGTTTCATTCTCTCATTGACTGACTATATGTTTTAATCAAACCATTACTATCTACTACCAGAATTTGCGAGTATCATATTAGCACAAGCTTATTCCGTAAAATTAAGATAGATCTGTGTATTAATTTTATTTTTCCCAGTGAGTTCATACCTCATAAAACCATTATTACATGCATTTGCGAAAACCATCATTTTAACACGAACTCATCCCTAGGAAAAGACATTCTTTTTTTCCATTACTAATACGTCTGATGATGAACTCTTGACGAGGTCGAAACGTCACGATTTAAACTTCATGTCTCCTTGTGCTGGTCTTCCAGTTCATCTTTGTTTCCACGTTACTGCACTTGTATCCACATGTTTCTTTCGTTAACTTACCTGCAGACCCTTAACCTTGATGAGTTCCTTTGTGCGGTCAACGATCTTGAAAAAGCCCCTTTCGTCATAGTGACCAATGTCTCCTGTGTGAAGCCAGCCATCAGCATCGATCGTCTCAGCAGTGGCAGTAGGGTTTTTGAAATAACCTTGCATTATCTACCAGGGGATTAGACGGAGATTAAGGTATGGTTGCAAATCCCTTTCTAAAAAGAGGGCTTTTTTATATAGGCCTATACAATAGCGTTTGAATTGCATCGTTCTAAATTAAACAAGGTTGAGAAAGATCGCTAAACATATAGACAGGATTCTTTCCAGATGAAGAGGAACTCAATGACCTACCGAAGGCGTCTTGAGCCACATTTCTCCATCCTCGTGTGCCTTCAGGTCTTTCCCAGTGACAGTGTCCACCACCCTCGCCTTCACATTTGGCAACAGAGCACCGGATGTTCCTACTTCATCCACACCCACTGGGACCATGTGAGTGAGCAGTGCCTCAGTCATTCCAAACCCTGTCGAAGTGATTAGAAGATAGGATATGTAGACAAATATACATCAATATGTATTGTTGAGGATCTACCCAAAACCGCAAAATTCTATGTGAAAGACGTGCAAGCTCATGCAATGTAGGCTATGTAATGATCACATCTAAGGACAATTTAAAGTCTCAAGTAGAAAAAAAAAAACAGAAAATACCTTCTTGGAAAAATATTGGTTTCTTCAGTTTATCTTTGAACCTCTGAGCTGCCGACGGAGACACAGGCGCAGCTCCGATCACGATGTGTTCCAGATGGGCCATGCTCTCTGCAGTGACGGACGGGGAATGCAGCAAGAAGTTGAGAAGCGGAGGAACCAGGTGCAAGGTGCTCATCTGCACATTCAAAAAGTTGAAAACGCTTACAATTACTCGCGATTCGGAGGGTAAAAACAGGAAAACATCGTCAAAGAAGGAAAGTGTATGCCAGTTTTTACAAATGTCCTTAGTCTTGAGATTTTAGGAAGAGGCTAGAAACTATATATATACATATATATATATATATATATATATATATATATATATATATATATATATGTAAAAGAGCTCCTATGACATATTTCAGATGAAAAATCGGAATGTAACCCTACAACCAACCTTGTGTGAGCTGATGGTGCTGACGAATGTATTTGGGTCAAACTTGGGTACAGTAACTACTTTGATTCCCTTAGTGAGTCCTATGAGACTGATGAGCAGGATCCCGGTGATGTGGTAGCATGGTAGGAGGCACATGAAGGCCCCTTGGCTTGTAGCTGGAATATGGTTTTCATACTTTAATGCGTTTCTCATTTCTTAATCATTTTTAAATTGTGCGTGCGCGCGTGTGTGTGCTGTGTGTGTGTGTGTGTGTGTGTGTGTGTGTGTGTGTGTGTGTGTGGTGTGTGTGTGTGTGGTGTGTGTGTGTGTGTGTGTGTGTGTGTGTGTGTGTGCATGTACATATACATATATCCATGATCCCTATTTCCACCGCTTTACATCATACAGAAAACGTTACAATATAATATATGAGCTTTATCTCTGTCACTGAATGATCTTTCATATACATTTATAAGGCTGGAAATAATCTTAATATACAATTAATAAACCTTATTTACATGTGTTCACTGTTCACATTATCTTAGTATTCTTTGAACTTTCCAATGAATTAAACAGCGAACAATATTTTAGATACTGGTTCGATCACAATTTCTGCCATTTGAAAATTGTTTTTCCTGTTTTCGCATCCATTTCAGACACCAACGTATGGCTTTACTCCTTATAATCATTATAGCATTATCATCTTTCACGAAAAATCATATGCGTAGGAACTCAAGAACGGAGCGCCTCTACTCTAGAACGGGGTGCGACCCAACTTCTGCTCCCTCCCCCTCCTCAACTTTTGAAGGCATTCCCTGTAAACAAACAGTGCAGTTCCTTAGTTACCCAGTTATTGAGAACACTGACCCCATGATCAGTGTCTCTGGACCCCGCCATGGCCCTGCACCCCCCAGGATCCCTGGCTATTTTGGGCGGGAACGAATTTTACCCCCCACTTCAAAACACCTTCCTACGCCTATGAAAATTACCTGTTGCCTCCTTTACAGGGAGGCTGGCCGGCACCGAATACATGACTATGTTGGAGGCGAAGGCGTTGTGGCTGATGGCGACGCCCTTCGGAGGCCCTGTGGTTCCGCTGGAGTATGGCATCATGGCAAGTTCCTCCCCAGAGAGCTTTTTCATTGATAGTATATGGTTATTATTGATATATCTCGAACAGCATTTTCCTAGTTATATCTTATTTCCTACTTATCAATAATACTCATCAACAATATCTGTTGCTAGAGCGATTATCATTACTTTTGCTATCATGAAAATTTTCATCCCATTACTATCATTACCTTATCAAAACTATCACTATAATCATCACATCAAACTCATCACTTGCATCACTTTCATCACTGTCTTATCCAACCTTTCCCACTAACGAGGAAAACATGATTAGATTTTCCTCCAGATCATTTTTGAAAACACGGATACTAACCTCAACCGGATCATTGAAGGCGATGTTGGTGTCCTCAAAAACATGGCGGAGGTTGAGGGCCCCGGAGCGAGCGGAAGGACCGTTGGTGACGACGAGAAGAGGTCGCTGGAGCAGTGCAAGGGCGCCGTCCACGCTGGTCTCCAAGACAGGGTCGTATATTAGCATCTTGGCGTCACAGTTTAACAGCTGCCGATGTATTTCTCCTGCAGGGTTGAGGTGTGAAGCGAGTGGCTGTGTTAGTGTATGGTGGCAGCGGTTTTTTATCATTGAGTTTAATCTTCTGTGGTTCGTAATGTACGTGTGATCGTGGACTACCCGATTCTGCTCTTTAAGGTGTGCCAAGCAATTTTAAACAAACGTAATAAAAAGTACTTAGGACACTTAACCCCACAAAAAATCTTTAATGAACTGACCTGCCGTATAATTGGAACTCACTGTAGACACAACAACGCCAGCCATCAGAGTGCCCAAGACGACGATGGGGTATTCAGGGCAGTTGGGCATGACGACTGCCAACACATCCCCTTTCTTCATGCCCATCTTGGTCAACATGCCCGCCCACCTGGATGCCCCGTCCACCAGCTGGGAGTAGGTGTACTTCCTGCCCGTCACGCTGCACTCCTGTTATGATATCGCCTGATTATTCTAAATGCATTATAATTACTCTAAATTTAGCATTCTTACTTACTGCCTCTTATTCGTTATACGCAAAATACCCAGAGGTATTATTTCTAGCTGACTATCCTTAGCGCATATAAGTAGTGTTTGACTGATGACTCAGAAGATATTTAGCCAGAAATGCCTTTTACATAGCTAAATATAAGGTTATATCATATTCCGTACATACGTATAACAACAACAACAACACAAGATAGAATAACAGGGAAAAAAAGTAAATTACCAGAAAGAAAACCAAAATATGAATAAAATACCAGGTACAGAGAGAGAAAAAAAGAGTACACACACACACACACACAACACACAACTATATATACACATCAGGATACCAAATCAGATACTGATAAAATGAAAAAGAATCAGACTAACCGTAGCAGTGTGATGTCCCCATTTCGTAACTTTGTTCAGTATGAGTGAAGTAAAATTTCCTGATGGCCAGTCGACGTCAGGTAGGGGTGACGTCACAATGTTGTGATCAGCTGATGTGGTGTATAGATATTTGCCAAGAAATCTGGAGGCAAAGAATAGATGGCAAAATGACGATGATAAATATGATACTAGATAACAATTATGGTAATGATGATGAAATAATAATGATGATGCTTATAATGAAGCTTCTGCTGCTAATAATATTTATAATGATAAAACAATGTCGGAAAGAGAAACAAGTAAAGCAAATAATTTAGACCGAGATTGAGATATCCACTTTAAGAACAAAATAAATCAGGGACACAATATAGCATGGTGATGATGAGAATGAAAATATCAAAACTACCTATCAATTTACCTCCTTCGCTGATGAAACTGACCAGATGATACCAAATTATCAGGTTTTGATATAGAATTGTCTGTCGGTTTTATCACCCTTAACTATTAATGGTAAAATAACAACCTTAATTATGTCTTTTTTCTCTCTATTTATTGTGTTGGACTGCTGACTCAGACACAAACTCGCAAACGGCCAAAAGAAAAATGTGACAAATAAACGTCGGTATATTTTGTGCACTTACAAACCAGGACAAAAGTAACACGAGAGTTTATTCAATGCATTTATAAATCAGGAAAAAAGTAACATGTTTATTTATTGCATTTACAAATCAGGGCAAAAGTTACTTGTATTTATTTATTGCATTAAATCAGGGCAAAAGTAACATGAGTGTCTTTGCTACATATACAAGTAAGAGCAAAAGTAACATGACTCTTTATGTAATTAAACCGAATCATAAATCTGACTTGCCTTGAACGAGAAATATTCCTCGCTAATCTGAGCCTCACTACATTCAGAGCGGAGGCCATGGCGGCAGTTTTTACGAGCACAAGCACGTTCGTTGGTCTGCAAAATGTAGAAAGCGGTATGATTCTACTTTGCTAGGAAGTTAAAATATTAAAAATAAAAATAATGAAAAAAATCCTTTGTTAGTGATAAAAAGAAAAAAGAAAAATGATAAAAAATAATAAAAACGGATGTCTGCTTGTCGGTGGCCAAATGGGAAATATCTCACTTTATGACAAGTTAAGGTTGTCTCTCTGGATTTTAGCGTAGCCTTTGGCGTTGTCAGTCACAAGGTTTTTTTTTTTTTTTTATTATTGTCAGTCACATGGGTTTGATTTTTGTTTTTAGTTGCAGTGTGTTAGTGTTGGTGGGAATACTTTAAGTATTTTGACTGAAGACTGCAACGTGTTCAAGTTGATGGTAGTTATAGGTCATATTCCTGTGTGACTTCTGGGGTTCCTCAGGGTAGTGTTCTTGGCCCTCTGCTCTTCATCATTTAATATACAAGTAGACCTGATGATAATTCAATCGTGGTGATTGTGACTCGGTCTAGAATGCACTTACCTCAGCATCCAAGTCTGCTGAATAATAGTCTTAATCACTTCAGTAGATAATCTGAGGATCTTGGGTGTAACCTTTGATTCAAAGCTTACATTTGCATTGCATATTAGGAATATGGCCCGAGCAGTTTCATCTAAGTTAGGGGTCATTCGCAAATATAAGATCTATGAAGATGACAACATTACCATACGATATTTATTGACGTCGCATATTTTCAACTCCAGTAAAATGTAGGAAGAGTGTTGCCTGAACTGTCATTAAGGATAACAATATTGCTGTTGCTCGTCCATTACCTTTGTACATGTGATATATAGTAACTACCTTACACAGTTTGAGATTTACGTCTTTGTTATAGAAATGTCAGGAATTAGGACATCAGTCACTCTGTATAAATACACAAATATATATATACATGCGTGAGCATATCTATACGTAGGCAATATATAAATACAAATACGTTTGTGTAAGTTTATTGATTCATTACACTATTCAGATGATTGCTGTTTCTTGTTCCAGCCAAACATTGCAAACTTCCTTCACAACAAGAGATGCTATCCATGAAGCTAGAGTACTTGTACTGAACTGGAAGATGATCAGGGACACACTGTACATTTTCATTCCAGTTTTGAAATTAAATGCACGGCAAGGTTGAAGAGTTTATAGGAAGGTGTGTGTGTGTGAAGTAAGAATCCTGAAGTCAGTTCAGCTGGATGCGTTATCACGTGTATCTGTTGCATGAGTTTGCTATTCTTTGGCCATAAATTTTCCTCCTATTATGACTTCCTGCACATGCTATACATATACATATATGTAAGTGCATGTATATGTATATACGTGTGTGTTTGTGACAGAAACAGACTGACAGTTGGTATGGAGATGAAGCAGATAAATCATGCTGACAAATATTTATGATTCCCAAATCATAAAATCAATGGCTCTCTCTACAAAATGGCCCACTCTTGTAGTGAAATAATAGATAGAACGTATCGATATCACTATTTCTCACTCTCTGTATAGTAATAATCATTTTCTTTTCGCTTCTATTTTCTATTAAATTTTCTCCTCTTCATTCGTCCCCTTCATCCTCTTCATTCTTCCCTTTTTCCTCCCATAAACCGGACACAAGAACCCTCAACACACGTACCTCCTACAGCAGGTAGAGGACGGTGAGCCCAGGTTCCTCTCACTGCCTCCTCAGATTCGCTTGTGGTACGTTGCAGGGGCCGCCAGTTGCCCTCGGTTACCGCTTTATATTTTTTAGTTTTCGTGTCGTATATAGCGGCATTTGATAAAGGCTTTATCGTTTGGCATTCAGTTTCAGACGATGGTTAAGTATCGTAGGTAAGGAGAGGCTGTAGTGGTTTTGCAAATATAGGACAAACACTGTATGCTCAGAAGCGATTTTTGTCACATTTATTAACAGATCTAAATCGAAACGCACAAACCCCAGAAACTGATAACGAGTAAACACATAAATTATATCATGGAAAAAAGGCGAAGATAATCAGAACCAGAGAAGGACGACTGGACGTTTCAAAACAAAATACAGAAATAACAATGCATCTACAGAGACATGCCTAAGACGGAACCTGCAATGATGAGGTCACAGTGGCAACTTTACACAAATGTCCTTCCCCCTTCTTTTGCTTTCTGCTTTATTCAGTCTTTAGAAAATGATATAAATTTTTCAAGCAATTGATATGTAAGAAAATAATTAGACAGATTGGATGGTGTAACGTGTCTCGGTTTTTGAAACTATTGTTTTCACTACTACTTCCGACAACATATATGTATATATATATATATATATATATATATATATATATATATATATATATATATATATATATATATATATATATATATTTATTATGTATATATGTGTGTGTGTGTGTGTGATGTTTATATAATATAAACATATATGGTTATATGGATACAATATATACATATATACATGCGTACACACATACACACACACACACACACACACACACACACACACACACACACACACACACACACACATATATATATATATAATATATATATATATATATATAGAGAGAGAGAGAGAGAGAGAGAGAGAGAGAGAGAGAGAGAGAGAGAGAGAGAGACAGACAGACAGACAGACGCCATTTCCACAAGTCCTTCCCTAGGACTAGGCCCAAGAACAACTTCCCTCAAGATCTTGCTCTGTATAAATCTTTCCATCAAGAATATCATTTCAATTTACAACTCAATTTCTCCCTTCACTTTGTTTAAAAAAAAGAAAAAAAGAAAAAAAAAATATATATATATAATATATATACATACATATACATATATATATATATATATATATATATATATATATATATATATATATATATATATATATATATAATATTAATTGATCATAAAACAAAAGAAAATCCATAAATCTTTCATATAATCAGATACACATAAACAGATAAATACTATTTTTACGCGAATGTTTTGTATAGTACCCAGAGAAACATGCACTTGCAAGCGCTGCCTCACTTCAGATAGCATTCAAGGACGGGGTCGCTTATGCACCAGAACTAGAGGGTAAAGATTATCCGGTCCGTGTCATTACTTTTTTTCTATTTATTGTTTCGTTCAATAGTTATCTTCCATTCAAACTCTCCTCTCCTCTTTCTCTGTCTCTGTCTGTCTGTCTGTCTGTCTGTCTGTCTCTGTCTGTCTGTCTGTCTGTCTGTCTGTCTGTCTGTCTGTCTGTCTGTCTGTCTGTCTGTCTGTCTGTCTGTCTGTCTTCTGTCTGTCTGTCTGTCTGTCTGTCTGTCTCTCTCCTCTCTCTCTCTCTGATTTCGTTATCCATATATCACGAACTACTTATCAATGTGATCTGGTAACTATTTACCATGAAGAAAAATCTGTAGTTTGAAAATAAGAGCATCTAGCCTTTTTTTCTTCTTCCTTTTCTCAGTCACTCGAGAAAGGAAAACAAAAATGTTATTTCAAGATTTTTTTTAACAAGAAAGTCGCATATATACCAAGCAGTAGAAACATGACGGAAAATTAGACAAAACACATACCACTCACTTGAGATTCTCATTATCTCTATCTGAAGTCAAGTATTTTATAATGCGTTTATTTTTTCTTTATATATACCTACTTGATAGCAGATGGCACGATAATATTAATCAGGCGCAAAAATTACATGACTTGGTTTGTCGACATGACCAGAGTAATTACATGCTTTGTCACTATGAATGAACAGCTCTATAAAATAGCTATTAACTAAAAATTTGCATATATTATAAAATCATATACAGGTTTATTATAGAATGTAAGTATATTTCTTGAGATTCTCTACAGAATAAACTAGGCTAACTTTTTTTTCACAAGGGCGGGGAGGGATAAGAAATCTGCAGTGTACAGTGACATTACAAAGCTGTATTTAAAGTGAGATCTCTTTGGTGCTGATACTGCAACGTTTTCGATAGTCCTTATCTTCTTCAACCATTGAAATTCTGCTGACTAGTAAATCAGAGGCCTTATTTCCGCTGAAAAAAAAGAAAATGTCGTACGGCAGTAGAAAGTGTCGTTTATTTCATTCGGGACATTCCCCGGGTCGGTCGCGAAAGCAACGTTGCCAATGTTTTACGCTGTTGCCAAAGGTGCGGCTCCACCTCCATTCTTAGGAATCGTACTCGAGTTGACGAATCTGATTTTGTTTTTGGATTGAGTTAATTGATTAATCACTATTTGGCTGGTGTATCATTAGGAAATAGCAATAAATACAAGTTACTTATGAATATCTTAAAATTACAAATCAAACGACGGAAAATTATTGAAATCAGTTGAAAATGTGCGGCCCAAAGTGCTTCCTATCATACTTATTCCTTTGTCTGTTGACACGGTTTCGAAGGTCACACTTTTAATATTTTGAAAATGACATTATCTATTGATTGATATCGACTTCATTTAAACGATATAAAAGTTTATGCCTGCATATTCAATTATATGTATATAACCAGTAATATGATTTTGTAGAACTAAATGTGTGTGTGTGTGTGTGTGTGTGTGTGTGTGTGTGTGTGTGTGTGTGTGTGTGTGTGTGTGTGTGTGTGTGTGTGTGTGTGTGTGTGTGTGTGTGTGTGCGTGTGTGTGTGTGTGTGCAGTGTATATACAAATGTATGCATACACATATGTATGTATATATACATAAACATATATGTATATACATATATCACACATTTATATATATGCACACACACACGTGCAGCAAATACATTTAAGCTAGCACTTAGTGCAATATCCTCGTTAACATCGTTACTAATAATGCACCATATAATGTAGGATCAAATTTGAACTTCCCATTTTCTTTCAATTTCAAAACAGGCAGAGATGTTTCACACGCTCATCGGCCAGGTGCAGTTGTCTATGACTTCTCAGCTTTCTCCCATTTCTATATGGGGTCGCCATTATGGATGAGCTGCCTCCACTGATTTTCCTATTACGGCTCATTTCATATTGGTTTTGCCTTTTTTTTTTTTTTTTTTAACAGCCGGGTGCCCTTCCTGACACCAACACTCTCTATTTATCCGGGCTTGGGACCGGCAACCAGAAAGGCTGACTTACCCCCCAGGTGGCTTTTCACAATGGGAAATCAAGGTAAAGTTCCTTGCCTAAGGGAACAACACGCCAGTCAGGGAACTTGAACCTCGAACATGAATTGTTGACAAATCCAAAGTCCGATGCTCTAACCACTTCTATGACTCCGGCCTCATAAATAAGGGCAGAGTCATAGAAAGTGTACCACGACAGTTGTCCAGATGAGGCCTTAGTTGATCCATTTTTTTAATAACATGCATATGGAAGATTTCCACAGATAATATATAATATAATTGTTACAGTGCTTATTCCCGTGTAAAAAAATAATTGTGTATTTGATCACGTTCAGCAGAATCACTAAATACGAGAGACGAAGATGTTTTGGGCAATTTATCATCAAACAATGTGGGCTCTGGAATTGTCACAAATAGGTATAGTGATGAAAATTATGTTCTCAATAACGGGAAATTTGTAAACGTGTGGAAATTTTCACCATACCCACAATTCATTAATGACACATATTTCCGATTAGGGAATTTGCACACACAGAGAAGAAAGAGAGAGAGAAAGAGAGTGAAAGAGAGAGAGAGAGAGAGAGAGAGAAGAGAGAGAGAGAGAGAGAGAGAGAGAGAGAGAGAGAGAGAGAGAGAGAGAGAGAGTGAGTGAGTGAGTGAGAGAGAGAGAGAGAGAGAGAGAGAGAGAGAGAGAGAGAGAGAGAGAGAGAGAGAAACAAAGAATCAAACAAAATATATGAAAACATGCACTGAATAACATACCTGGGTAAATCGATCGTAAACAATTGAGAACGCAATTGAGGAAATCAAAATGCTGAACGACCACCGACACAGCTACATGCTATCCCACTTATAGCCCGACGTCGAACACAACCGATCTCTTTAACAAGCTCACTCGCATTCATAAAAGGCCGTTACTAGAGAAGCACTTGTACAGTACAGTGGTGGACGAAAGTCCTTTAATGAATTGAAGCTCCGAATCTGTCTCATCCACTACAAAAAGTGTGGTATTAAGTGAAAGTTCGAAACCGATTTCGAAACGTGCTCATTTTTTTTACTTCAACTGTACTACGGCCATTCAAAAAGGACGTTTGGGTCCAGTAGGTCGTGTCTGCTTAACAACACACGTCCATACACACGTTTAGAACATCAACCTCCATGTGATAAAAAGGGACTGTGTTGCAATGCGTCATAGCCATTCACAGACCAACTGTGAAATGGATACGCCGTTCATAAAGTAGGCTGTGGATATTATATTTTAACTGTTGGGTTTACATTGAACATGAGTGTATGCTACACCTTTCTAATACACTAAAGGGATTCCTTTACACTGAAACATGTTACACTCAAGATATGTATGAAGGAGCAGTAAACAGGGATTACTTAACAGAAGCACACTACCTGTATACTTGTAGGAGGGCATCTGTTCACTTTACAAACTTAGAACCCAATGCCTTAGAAAGTAAGAGAGAAGTTAGAAGTTAAGACAAAAAAAATGCATATACAACCAATATCCATCAACAGAGCCTGATAATATGAACTATGGGAGTTCGTATAATTTCACTTATAACTTTTGACTCAGAAAATAGTGGCACTGGAGAGAGGTCAAGGTAATGAGGAAATAACCAGTGTCTCATGTAAAAATACAATGTGTGTGTGTGTGTGTGTGTGTGTGTGTGTGTG